GGTGGTAGTAGTGGTGGTGGTGATGGTGGGGGCAGGGCAGGGTCTCAAAGCGTGGATAGCGGCTACAGCGTTCAATTTGCGCACTGCCCTTCTGCAAACATCACCGCCGGTACTGTTTTGTCATACTAAACTACTTCTGTCAGTATCGTAAAGAAAAGTCGCAGTTCAGTCCTCATGGCAGTGTGGCATACTGGCCCCTGTTACAGGGAGCTGTTTGCCTCGGTGCCACATGCATGCCCACATTATCCCACATTCCTTCCCGGCCTGCGAAGGAGAGTTCATACAGAGGAGCTGATTTGCTCTGCGGAAAAGTTGGCGGTCCCTTGGACGATTTGAGCAGGAGCAACTGTTGCGCCGTTTTGCAAGACCGCAGCCAGGTTGTGTCACATTCGGGCTTTCTATACCTTCTTGCGAATTATGGCCACGCACCCTGACAGAAGTTTGCCATTACTAGTTGAAGTGCCTGTGCAGCAGTTCTATCACATCTTTGCGTGTTGCATTCCTGAGGCCGCTCTTGACGGCAGCGTGGGAGGACATGGAAGTTTCAAGGGTCCCGGTCCAGTTGGAAGGCCTGGTGCTACTCCGAGCCTTGGTCAAACGTGAAATTTGAGAACAGACAACTCGGCTAGGACAGGCAGCGTAGAGCCTTAGAGCGCCGGACTTGCTCGTTGCCTTTTTGAGTTCCTCAGCGAGGTCTGCGTACAGTATGCCTGCCAATGTTGCGGCACGTGACTTGCCAAGTGTTCCAAGGATCCTGACATATCCAAGAGACACTTGGCCCCAATCAGTGAACATTCTGCTTGGCCCCGTGTTCTTCGTACAGGGTCGAATGCGCTGTATGCCACGTTCCATGCCCACATTCAGGATGCACCTTTGCTCGAGAGACACTTCCGGACATGGTGGTCACAAGGCGAGCTGCGCTCGGTGGCTTTACAGCCTACATGGCCTTCATCTTGAGCTTTGAGGCTGAGCTGGATGGCCATTCTTCTTGCCGGTAATGCCATGCTTCGCAGTGCCCCAACGCGAAGAGGTGCTTGATCCGGAGGCACTCGCACCACGGACGGACCGCGGGCGGAACGGTGTCAGAAGAGGTGTCCTGGCAGTCTGGAGGAACGAATCTCCTTGTGAGACTTGCCTGCGTGGAGCGTCTGACGCATTAGGCTTCCCATGGCTTCCCGCTGGTGGGCAAAGCCGATGTGCCGACCTTTTCTGGCTGCTCGAGTCTTACGCTTACGTTTTATGCGATCGCGAAGAGCAACGGCGACGCATGAATCGCGTGATCTTCCGCCGTCGATCCTACCGACCTGGAGACCTGGAGCATGCAGTCTCGGAAGCGGCGCGAAGGTCCAAAAGTCCGGTTGACTGCGGAAAAAGAATGGGGCACGACACAGACACACAGAGGGTGAGTTTCTGTTTCTGGAGGAGCTACTTGGCTCCTCTCTTGTAAGGGCTTCGGGCCTCAGCCGGTTCAAGTTCAAGCCGGCGTGTGCTGTGATTGCCGTCCGTGTGCGACCTGTAGGTCGGGTCCCATCACGGCTTGCTCGTCTCGAAGAACGGCACAGTGCTTGCGTTTTCCGTGGGGTCAGAAATGTTTCAATGCCTGCGCTGAGGTGTACAAGCTGTTCATGGCCAAAGAGACGACTTGCCAACTCAGAGATCATCTCGGCTTGCGATAGTTACGGTAGTTCTTCAGCATGCCAACCTGAAAAGGGTGTAGTTCTTCAGGCCAGAGCTCCTGCGTGCCATAAAATCGGCCGAGCAGGCCAGGCCCTCTCGCAGCGGTTGTTGCGAGTGGTTTCCGTCTCCTACTCCGCTGCGCGTCACTGCAGGCGCGGGCAGGGCTTCGTGCGCCATGCCCGGTTTCCCGGCTTGTGGATGCATTTGGAGAAGCTCAGAACGTTTCTCGGTCCCGAAGAGTCCCGATCTCTAAGGTCCTCCTGCAAGGGAAGGGTCACCTTCATGTCGGTCCTGGTGCAGACGCATCGTGCTGGACCGACCCGTGGAAGGAAGGTGCATTTCACGCCAATCCGCGCAAGAGATCTGCTTCAAAGAGTGGCAAGTGGCAGGCTCGAGGGCTCCTGCCCTCGGAAAGAAGGCAATGATGGCCCTCGGTGCCTATGTCAGGACTGCTCAGTTTAGAGGCTTAGCAACAAGTGCATCCGTGATCGCGGCAGGAGGAGGCTGAAACTCTGGCATCTTGCCTGATGCACTGTGAGGCGACCGAGGCTGGGTTCCCGAGATTTCCGAGACGAGTTCTTGGACAAGCTGGGAATTTGGAAGCACGGCGAGGACGTGGTGGCACCGCCACCGAGCGTACCTGCACCGAAAACTGGTGCACCGGTCAAGGCTGCGAAAGCCTTGGATGTCCATTTCATGTGAACAATGTTGTGTTTTCGAGGCATCCAAAGCTGATGCGCTCACAGAGCCGCGATACTTGCTGTATGCAGCTTGGCCGCGTCTCCTTGCCGCGATCACGACTTCGATCGTGCCGAGTTGGAAGTAGGACACTCGCTACCACGTCGGCTTCATGGCACAGGCACCGAGGGCATGTCTTTGAAGTGCCCACTCGCTGTTTATTCACACGAGTGTGGCAAACTGGGCCGCCCAGCTTGCAAAGTATGTGTTTGTCGGAGGAACGAATCTGCCGGGAAGAAATGCCATGCAGAGATGCCATGCGGCCACTGATGGACGGCAGTTGCATGTTCAGCAGCGCCGCACACTACACAGGCAAGAGGAAAGAAAGCACGTCGATGTGTGAAATCTGGCCTTTTAATGAGTTACATTCGAACTACTGCTCACAATTTGTGCGGGGTTTGAGGACAAGGCAAAAGCTGCACATCAGATAGCTTTTTCTATGCTCCCGTGCTGGAGCTGCAATGCGAGCGCCTGCTTGCTGAACAATTTAAACTTCAGGCCACCTCACAGCCGGCACCAGTGTCGTTGTTTTGCTTTATCTATACGTGCGACACTCACAAACATCCAGCCAACAACCAGCTTGCCCTACCTCCGGCGCGTCATTGCTCAGTAGATTGGATGACGGGGCCAGGTGGAAGTCTTCTTCGTTGCCCTTGAACTCGTGTCCCAGCTAAACAGGCTGACCAGTGCATGCCAGCCTAAAGTACTCGCCCCAGATGGTTTCGTGGAAAACAAACCCTTGACAGGCGCCTCAACACTGCGTGCAAAGATGCCGGAGGTGCTTGCGGTTTTACTGACAGAAGAATCGATTTCGCGCATCCACAATCCAGATTTTCAATACCGATGATGCTACAGGACATGGTTGCCAACCGTGGACACTGGTGCTGCCGCCGGGGCACATAAGGACATGCCGGACTAGTGCTGGATAACCTGCTTTAAATCATCAGGCCATGGTGTTGGGTGCCTCGCTGGTACCATGCAGATGCATCACGGGGTAGACCGTCGGGGGCTCAAGGCACACTCGGAACCAGTTCTCATCCGATTGTCAGCGTGTTGGATGATCGAAAAACACCTCTGTCCTGAGGTGGAGCGACCTTTTCAACCTCGAGGGTTTAAAGGCTGAGGCTGCAAGCCAGTTGTGTGTCTGCAGTGTTACGCAGTGTTGCATGTTGGAGCAGCCAGGTGGCGGTGCGTGACTATGCCAGCCTCGGGAACTCCGCAGCAGATGTGGGGGTGGGGGTCCCGATGATGTTGTCACTAACGTTCAGACTTGTTCGATGCACTGCTTTGGAGGTGGTGTTGGTGCCTGGTGGTCGAACCTCGCAGCTCAAGGCCCTTCAAAGGTGCCTTGTATAGGAGCAGGGCCAGTCCTCGCAGGACGGTCATGGTGACTTTCTGGGCTTCACCAAGGACATGCAGGCCTCGCAGACGATCCAGAAAATACGTCTCTTTGCAAAGCTCCTGACGAGGCCTGTGAATCTCACGGCCAGCAAGTTCCCCAAGCTGGCAGGCAGCGTACAGCTCTTGGCTGTCGATCAAGCGCACCTTGCTATGACGGGTCAGCTTCCGGCTCAACCCAACCGAGGCAATTCAGTGGTTTATTCTGGGTGTGCCGACCTACAGTGGCTTCCCGCATGTGAAGGGTGCTGCTCCGTTTGGGGCTCGAAGGTACTGCGACGAAGACCTCGCAGTAAAGAATCTGAGATGTGGAGCTACTTGGCTCCTGGCAAGGATGTTCCCTTCACTTTGCTTGATTCCCGGGCTGACAGCCTAAGGTTGTGAGAGAGAGCTCTCTCAAGGCAGAGCATGGTCAGTGACTTTGGTTCGATGCTCAAGTGACACCTGCAACTGCAAGGGCTTGGTGGACCTCGCCGAGAATGTAAAGGGGAGGCCCATGCCAAACTCGAGTGCGTCCAGCCTTTCTACTAGTAGCTTGGCTGCGAGGAGCCTGTTGATAAAGCACCTCGATGCACTGCGGCTGCCCTGCTGCATATGATCGGTTTGTGCCTGGTTCTGTTTGGCAAAGGGATTGCGAGTGCGTCAAGACTCACCGTGTATTGCATGGCAGTTTGCTCATGGAAATGATGATAACCGTGACGATGACGACAATGAGGCTGAGTTATGAGTTGTTATGAGGATGAACATCAGGATGGTCGCACGAGAACAAGGGTGATGAGGATGCTGAGACTCGTGAGTACGAAGATGGTGAAATACTGATGAAGACTTTTGCGATGGTTCTTCGACTTATAACTCTGACAACATCACTTCTTGTTCTTCTAGTGATTCTAGTACCTTTGATTATGGGCATCACTTAAGTCGCATGACATTATTTCATGTCGCTTCGCATCGTTTCTCATATTTGTCGTTTCGTTTCTTTTCATCTCAGTGCATGTCATCGCAGCTTGTTTTGTAATTGGGACGGAATTCTTATGCCATATCATGTCATATCATGTCATGTCATGTCACGTCATGTGACGTCATGTCATTTCATGTCATGCCATGTCATTTTTTTCACGTCCTGTCGTTTCCACAGACTTTTGATGGTCAATTTCAGCTTGCATCCCAAACCATTGCATTCGGTTCCACTCCAGTCTTGTCATTCCTTCATTCGTTTAGTCTTTTCTGGTTCATTCCTTGTTTCATTGCCTCCATCCTTCATTGATTCATTTCTTCCTCGCAAGCTGTTGGTTGATTCACGAGTTGCTTCCACTCATGAACGAAATTATTCATTGACACCTTCACCGACGGTGCAAAACGTCGCCCTGCAAGAAGGCGAAGGTGTCGACAAGCATTGACCAATGCCATGGTGTATCATGGTGTACCATGTCATTAGTCTTCCGCTTCCGAAAACCAGAGGTCATTACAGGATGGCGCTGCTAAGGAGTTTATGTGCGCGTGGAGGAGATTTTTCATTCACAGAAAGAGGCTTCGGAGATCAGGCACCCGTGGAGGAGCACATCACTCCAGAATCTCATGTTGTGTATTTCTCCGTCTCGGTCTGATCACGCCCCACGTTGAACGACTGCAAGCGGGTGACCGTATGCACATGTTCTTGTACAGATGTATGCTTATGCGTAGGCATGCATGACTATAACAGAAACAAGAGTCTATTTTGGTGGACAGAACGCTATGCATTCGAGATGGGATAGCTGCGAGGCTTCACCGTCCAGAAGGCTGCCGGGACGGTCTCTGACGCTGCGGTTGAGCCTATTGGGACAGTGGACCGCCCGACCGTGCAAGGCGATCTGGTCATGAAGTTCCAGCACATGCAGCAACCTCATTCTAGAGCACCTTTGCTCGACACTTCACTAGATTCCGTGTTCTCAATGTTGCACACCAACATCTTGCCGCATTCACATGTTCGATCTGCAATGGATAGTAGGCCACCAGCAGAAACTCGACTTCCCGTGCTGACGATCTCGCCAGTCTACCCAAAGAGGATCAGAGCAGAGACTGCCGAGGCTTGCTCCAGCTCCGGCTCTTGTGACAGCAGCTAAGAAATTCGCAGACTTGGTGCTGGGCCCGCCGGATGCCCAGGCAGGTTGATCAAACTGGCAGACAGGTTAACATCAGATACCCAGGCTGCCCTATCTCGGGGTGCACATTCGGCGGAATGACTTCGTTGTCACACACGCCGTGGAGCTGACGCTGCTTGCAGAGCTGCCAGTGTTTTTTCTGTGTGGACAATGTTGAGCATAGGCTCAGTTCGGACAGCCCGTCACCGTGGTTCGAGCTCCCCGAGCAAGGTCCACACTAACAGGGTTCATCGGCCCAGACGCATGTGACAAAGCGGTGTGCAAGCCCTGACTCTGGAGGGTCCCATACTCGTGACAGACCTTTAGGGAGGCTAGAGCCGACAGAGTCTATCCATGAGCCATGGCATCTTCGCAGTCGGTATATGATGCAATTCAAGCGGTGCCGAACACTGGCGCCTGCCATCTTCGCTTTCCTTGCAGGCGCTGACAATTGAAAGAACGGACGAAGATCCGACATCACAGTTTTTAGGAGGAGCACACGGAGTGAAGAGAGAGTCCGCAGGTGGAAGACTAAGCCAGTCGCATCCATTGCTCGAATCTTCGCAGTGCATGTTTGAGCCTCCGTGTTACGTACCGAAGGCTTCTTCTGGCTGCAAAAGGGGCTTCGCAGCTCCGAACAAGAAGGTCCTGACTTGGCAAACTTGATCGAGATGCCCATCTCGGAGCAGGAAATGCTGTGCGAGCTGCGGTTGGTTCAATGGGTCTAGAGAAATAGCAAGCTCTACAATACATATTACGCCAGTACCGCCTAGTATTGCTTCCTTGTCCCTGCACCATGCTTCAAAGAGTTTGCACGTCAACTTGTGCATGGCTTGATTGTGATACCAGTGGCGCTTTCATCCATCACCCTTCTCCATGAGCAAACACATACAGGTGTAAGACTCGTCGGGATGCATATACCGAACTGTGAGGTAACAGAAGGATGTAGTGAACCCTGCCAATCTAGCACACTGTACAGTCTGCACTTTTTACCAGAAGACTTTCAAAATATAAATGTGATTAAGTATGTGCAGCCTCAATGTGCGTATCTTCTACATGAACACATTGAAGCAGGAGGTGCTCGAATACGATAGAAGGAAGCACTCACCAACATATATATATATATATATATATATAGATGTAGATACAGGACTGAAAAGAGCAAAGTCTTACACCTTCGCGACGATTCTGCCTGACTTCTGCCAACTTTCTCACGCAATGCCCAGAAAAACGAAAGCCGCTGCTCAACAACTTGATGCTGACACCGCTCCTGTCAGGACGCAGTTGAGCTTCCTTCGGATTCCAAAGATGTGGGCGCCCCACTGGGGACCGAAGGTCATACAGAGCCTCCACAAGAGCGCGGCAGAATGGTCGCCGTCGTGGTTGTGGGCCAGTCGCGCTTGCTCCTGCGTCTCATCACGAAAGCTCGTATGGCCAGAGAACTTTCAAGCCGGGCTCTGGATGTGCTGAAACTGCGCGGTGTTTCGACCGTGTTCCGCTCGCACGTGCTCCACGTGCTGCAGCCTTTGCGCTTAGATGGTTTCATTCCGGAGTACCTGCTCTGTGTAGATCGGATCGAGGGCCAGCTTCCCCCAGAAGTGGCGCAAGCTTGGACCTTCGCTGCAGCCAATCAGCTGCGCAGGATGAAGGCATGCCTTAAGAGGGTGCAAGAAAGAGAAGCTCTGCGAAACCAGAGCTACAGCTTCTTTGTTCGTCTGAGACCTGACTTTCTTGTCCTGACAGATATCCCCAGCTTGCGCACATCAGCTTTAAACAAAGGCTGTGTGCTGGCCAGACTGCGGGCAGCCATAAATATTGCTGGACTGACGAATGAGCATCTCTCCTACTGCTATTGTGGCAAGGGCTGTTGCTCCAAGAACACCCTTAAAGGGCGTGGGGCTGGCTTCATCGTGGATGACATGCTGGCTGTGGCAGCAAGGGATCTGTTCATGCGACTCTGGCAGTCGCGGGCGAAGGAGCCGCAACCAGGCTCGTGGCCTGTCATGGCACCAATGGCAGAGACTGGCTTTACTACCAGCATGCTCCAGAAAAGAATTCCGGTCTGCCCACTGGCATTTCGTGGACTCCCGCTCGGGAGCTCCAACAACGGCCATGCCGTTGAGGCTGCAAAATGCGGCTATGTGGAGGGTGATGCTGCCGTGCCGCAGACCTCTTGCGGCCCACCAAAGGCAGTTGTCGACCAAGTGCACTTGCTCATTGCGTCCGAAAGGTGTGCAGCCGCTGATGCTCATGCAGCCGCTCATGCAGTGATATCCAGCGCATGGGAGCCGTGTCAGGTGACCACCCCGAGCGCAACAGCCGCCGCCTCGAGAATCAACCGGCTGCTGAAAAAGCCTCGGCCTTAAAGCGCGAAACCGGCTGCGGACGGCTGCGATGCCGTTCCGTCAGCTGCCAGGAGGCAACTGGAGCAGGTCTTCGTTGCGGGTGATGCCGACGAAGGCAGCGCAGTGCCCATGTCAGCAGCCGATGCCATTGATCTATTCTTTCGCAACTAGTCTGCTGCGGCCGATGTTGCAGGCTTTCGTGCTGATCTCCGTTCAGGCGTAAAAGTTGCGTGCGCCTTACAGCTGACCAGCAATGACGAGCCTCTTTGCGTCTCTTTATGTCGCAGACTGCATGCTGACTTGCAGAGGCTTTGTATTTCTTCTCGCAAGACGATGGAGCTGAGTTGCCAGTGGCTGAGCTGTGCCGCTGCGCAGCCGAGGGCCCCGAGATTCTCTTGTCAAAGGCCCGAGCTCCGGGGTCAGGAGGAGCTCGTCGAGCTGCAACTTGCATCGCAGGCAGAGCACGGACCCCGGTAACCGAGTTTTCTCGGCGCTTCTGAGTTGTAGTGTTGCAGTGCTCTTGTGCCCTCAGGTACTTCATTGGCTCTGCAGGATCAGCATTCTCGGCAGCCGTGCGTCGACAGCGGCCTTCGGCTTAGACTCAAAGGGTCGTGGTTCAGGGACCTACTTGTAGATGGACGTGCCCCTGTAGTTGCGAAACCATGGCCTTGGCCTTGAATCGGTTGGAAGCTTCGTCTGCGACTGGCAATTGGTGAAAACACACACATTAGGGTGATGAATCGCTGGCACCCCAGCATGCAGGGCGTCTTCTGCCCTTGATGCAGAGGTCGCAGGACATTGACCACTCACCGGAGACACATGGAGAGAGACTGCAGCTCTCCTTCACAAACTCTGTAGAAGAAGCACGGAAGCTGTGCGGGTTCAGTTTTTCCGCAGAACAGAATTTCAAACACCTCCCCCGTTGTGCTGCGCTGGGTTTTGAGGGTTCAGGAAGCGACATAGCCGGCCCCCCAACCTAAAAACGCGACAGGGTTGACAGGCTCCGCCTGATGTGGAGAGCTTCGCCGCTTTTTGAAACAGCTATTGAGGCAGCGGCTTGGCCATCCACCGTCAACATCGGACGAGGCTCGAAGATGCAGTATGGAGGTGTTGAAATGTCTGAAATACACGACATGTGTCCTGCGTGTTCGCACGAGTCTACTTGGCCAGGTCTTCTGCGCCAACCTCACGGCAGAGACTTCTCGCAAGCGATGCGCGGCGGAGTAGCTCCGCAGCACCGCAGATCGCCAGTTGCTATCGCGGAGAAAGCAAGCGTGCAGGGTAAGTTTGCACTCAGAGCGTGGCAACCCCTTGACTTGGTGATGCTCGAAATGTGCAAGTTCGCTTCGCTTGGCTTCTCGGCTCGAAGAGATCCTTATCCACAGTGGATTTAGGGTGCTGGAGGCAGGGGGTGCATGCGAAGCATCCAGTCTTCAGCTGCACAGGAGGAGGGCCTGAAAGGCCCTTCACTCTATGCAAGCTCAGCAGCTCTGGGAGGCTTCTCGCCTTCATGGCGGTGCGTGCATCCTTCGAGAATAGCAACGAGGCCAAATCCGGAGAGGAGGGGAGTCGGGGAGAGCTGAAGAGGGAGTGTCTGAGTGTCTTGACGGCTCGCTGCCTTTGAGACTCTGCCAGGTGGGTGTCTTTGCCCGCCTCACGAACGCTTACTGTCTGGTCGCACTGGGCGGATCAGAGTGTCAAAGCTGCAGATAGCATCGACGTTGTAACATGTAGCATCGTGGATGCAATCGTGTCTTATGCGAGCGAGGGACCGAGGGATGTCCGTGACTTAAACGAAACAAAAAACCGACAAAGTGTTGGAGAGGAGGTGTTCGTGACAGAGGGTTGGGATCACACAAGACGGGCGAGCAACCAAGTGCTTGTAGTCGAAGATGCATAGGCCAGGCCGAGTAAGATGACTTCGCAGTGGGCATTCGAGAATCGAGTGCCAAAGCCTCATGGGTGGTCTGCAAAGTCATTTCTAGCATTGCCATAGCTACCACAGAGTCCGGTCTAGCTCCAGTGCCTGCACAAGTGGCAACATCAAACAAGCTATCGCGAAGCATGTGCTCTCTCATTCATCACGCCCTGGTGGGCATTGTGCTGAATCCTTGAAGCTCTTGACAGGGCGGAGCTGCGATCCATATCGACCCATGCTGGCTCGGTCTTTCGGACACCATGACATGATCATCTGTCCACTGGGTCAGAAGATGGGATTTCCAGGTGCAGTATTCTTGCACACCATGGTGTTCTACCGCTCTTGTCTTGTCTCCGAGGAACTTCTACAGCGTGTTCGAGGCATGTCACCTTACATGGGGATCTGCGCTGTTTCTGCAAGTCCGGCGTGTGCTGCATTTGTAGAAACCGCTTCTTTCCGATGCAGCTCGTGGCCCGACAGGGCGCTGGCAACACCTCCCCATGTAGCAAGCACGTAGCATGGAACACTGCCGGGCGAATGGATGTGGCTGCATTGCTGCATGGTCACTTGCAGCAAGGGCGCATGCTGCCACAGCGGCCGCAATCAGGCCGCGTCATGTCCAAATGCCCAGACTATTTTGCTCAGCCACTGCCGGCCTTCTTCGACGGGTTCACTCAGGTTCACTAGCTTCTCAAGAGCATACATCTAGCTCTTCATGCCTCGGTCGGCATGTCATTCGTTGCCGCTTGTCATTCGTTCCATTTTTCCACCTCTACTCCAGTTTGCCGTTCTTGGTGTCTGGCATACTTACGTACCAGGCCTTTTTGTATTCTCATTCCTTTTCCCTTCTCTCCCTCTGTCTCTAGTCTTTCTCTGTCGATTGCCAGTCGCAGTCACCCTTACCGTGCCTGAGTGTTTGAGTGCTCCGGAAGTGGTTCTTAATCAGGCATGCAGAGTGGGTCTGTACCCAGGCCTAGGTACTGTCGTTGTGTCAGCTTTTCGCGATCGTCGCAGGAGATTCAGGGCGTCCTAGCAGATCCGACTGGCAGAGAGCTCTTGCTGATCTTCATTCACTTCACGCGGCTAGTTTGCGTCTGGGCTTCCTCGATTTGTGGGTAGAGCTGCAGCACTCCAGCAAGTTGAGGTGCCATTAACTGTTGCCAACTATGGCTCGGCCCTGATTGCTTGCAAACGCGGCCTACAATGGGAACACGCTCTATCCTTATTGCATGCAATGGAGAAGGATCTGACCAACTTGGCTCAAAACTTGGGGTTGCGTTGTGCATCGATGGTTCAAAATGAGTCAGCTTGATCCCTTGAGGATGCGGTGGCCAAGAACGAATTCATATTTACCCATGCTGCTTGGCAGCAGGATCGCCAGACTTTAGATTAGATGCACTGCACTGACGGTGGCTTCAGTTCAGTAGGGATTCAGGGGCTAGGGTTGATAAAGCATGAGGAAGAACTACTGCAGCTTCTACTTCAGACTCACTGCTCGGCTCCAACTATGCCACCATTTGCAGCAACCAAGGCAATTCTGGTGTGCATGCAATGTGGGCATGCGGCTGCAGTGCTGAAGATTTTGGAGGATATGCCGCTGGCCTCCGTTCCTCCGAACAACGTCGTCTGCGCACAAGTCATCAGCCAATGTGCCGGTCTCAGCTCTCTTCGCCACAGAAGATCCCTCTTCCCTCTCTTCCTTTTTTCCCTCTCTTCCGGTTTGAGGTCACAGAGAGCAGAATTGGCATTTGTCAATGCAAATCTTCTCCACGATGATGCGTTCCTCTGCAAGACCGGATGTCGTCACCTTCACTTCAACCATCAATGCATGTGAGAAGCTTCAGCTGCAATCGTTAACCGAGGTACTAGTAGCTAGAGACACACACACACACACCCGCACATTCTGTAGCCGAAGCAAGGTGATGCCACGTCCTCTTCCACGCTGGGACATGTCATACCTCGTATGTTGGTAGCCAGCGTTCGAGCTGTATCAGTGTATCAGCTTGCAGCACGTTCTAAGGGCTCCATATCCGTACTTGCAGTCAAACAAGCACTCAGGTACAACAAGCCGCATCAATACTGCATCCTAAACTTTGGCTATAGCCAAGGAAGGGCCAGCAATGGGAGACGGCCCTCCAGATTTTCAACACGATGCGTGGAATGGCCAGCATCCCGAACGAACTCACCTGCTCGGCCGTGGTACAGTCGCTGAAGCCGAGAGCAAGCACTGCTGCTGCCGCAGGCTCGGCAGCCCATAAGTAGGGGTTTGTTTCAAGATGACGGTGATTTCCTGACAAAAATCTTGGGCGTGCGTGCATTTCTTGTTCTTCTTCTTCTTCTATTTTCATCTCCAGGTGCTTGGCGTCTCCTGCCGAGCCTCTTGCACGAAATTCGCTGCCTGGGTGACTTGACTATACACAGGGCCATTGCAGCTCACCTCACCGTAGATTCGGCGTCATCCAGCACATGTCCAGCACTGAATTGATGCAACACGGCTTTGGAGCAGAGGTGTGCAGCGAGATGTGGTTCTCTATAATTCGGTAAACGGTGCGGCGGAGAGGGCCTCGCAGTGGAGAACGGCATTGGTTGGTGTGCAGAGCATGTTGTCTTCGAAGCTCGAGCTCGATGCAGCAAGCTCCAGTGTGCCTGCCCAAGTCTGTCGCAGTGGCTGTCTGAAGAGTTTCTCTTTCGGCCGTTTGCTGGCTTCAGGTCGTGATCAAAGCCTTCGGAAACACTGGCTTGTGGCAGCGCGGTTTTTTCGTGCTGGACTCCATGCCCATAAACTCCATTACCATCAACACCTCGATAGGCATCTGCTCGGGGATTTGGCAGCAAGCTCTGTGCCTTTGCAGTGAACATCTGTCGAATGCGGCAACCTACACTGCCGCAATTTCTACATGTCGGCAGGGAGGCAATTGGGAAGTGGCCTTGAGCCTGCTGCGGCGGATGCAGGTGCGGCGCCTTTCACCAGGAACTGTGACGATCACGGCCGCCATCACGTGCTGTGAAGCATCGCAGCAATGGCGGCAAGCGCTGGGTCTTTTGAGCCTGATGCTCCGAAGACTGCTGGAGGTTGATGCCATCGCGTACCGCTGCACAATCGCCTCTTGCAGCGCTGTTCACTGGCAACATGCACTTGCTATTCTTATGCTATCGTGGCAAGCACGGGTCTATGACACTGAATCATTCACAACAGTGCTGTGGTGTTTCGAAGCTGCTGCCTCTTGGCAGTTGGCGCAAGCGCTGTTGCACAACAAACCGGACAGTCTTGTGCCAGATGAAGCAAGCTATCTGGCCGTGATACGCAGCTGCGGCAATGGTGGCAACATGGCCGCAGGCTTTGAGGTTCTGCAGGATTTTGTGCACGGCGGCTTCAATCACGGTGTTGCCTTCCTTCCCTGTGCAATATCTGCCCTCTTCATCAATGACCCAGACTTCATCCAAGCCACTTTTGCAGAGGCTTTGCAAAGACTGAGGGAGGAAACGAGGTCCCCTTGCGAGTTGATTACTCTCTGGTCTGCTTTGGGCTCGATGGGTGCCAGAAACACCGCCTTTGAAGATGCTGTTCTCGCTGAAGTTCTGCCTAGCCTGTCTGTGTTTGACTGGGATGAACTCATGGAGCTGTCATGGGGTGCTGCTGCATGCAGCTTGGCCAGCGACTTTTTTGATCCCCTGCAAGAAGAAGCGTTGAGTCGTCTTGGCGTTGTCGCGGCTCCTCCTGCTCAGTGCATACTTGGACTGATTTCGGCCTGTCACGCTTCTGGATCGCTCCGTGCCAGCTTCTACATGGCTGCATCGCAGCTACTGGAAAGACGCGGCACAGAGTTGGATGGACAAAGCACAAAGCACGTCGCGGCAGAAGCCCTCCCCTTTCCTGCAAGGCTCACTTCCTGTTTTTCATTCATTGGAAGGGCATGTATATACACACAGACATGTGCGCGTGTATACAGCGCACAAGTAACAGGAATATTCTCAAGATCTGTACACGAAGCATTGCCAGTTGATGGTCACAGCGGTTGTTCTTCCTATCTTAACTCTGGCTTCCGACAGAATTGAAAGACTAAAGACTACGATGACCAGGGCAGGCCCGGGGAGGCGAAAAGCAAACGGACCAGCAAATGGCTTGGGGGGTAGTGCAAAGCTACAAACGGGCCATCGGGATGCGACAGAGGAGGAGGGTCTGGACTGGACCATTGACGCAGAATCACTATTTTGTTCGAGGTCGAAACCCCGGCCAATCCCCGAGCTGTGCCGTGAGGTTCTTGTGATGATAATTTCAGGTCAGTTTACGCCAGTCTCTTAACTCGGTCGCACGGAGACCCGAGACGAACCACTATTTTTCTCGAAATACAAGGGCCTGTGTTCCGACACATGTTTCGAAGAAAGGTCATCTATTCCTGTAAAGTCATCCAACTAATGTATTGGCATACACATGCATGTCCATGCTTCGCCGAGAAGGGTATGAATGGGTGTGGCACATGATGCAGAGGCACCAAACATCAATGAGCAAACTGATATCACGCATTTGTGCATGTCTAGAACTCTTTGCATATATGTGCAAACTACGAAGAGATACACAAATAAACAGTTCATGCAAAAATAAAAAAATACGTAAAGCGTTTACGTATGTAGGCATAGTCGTACGTCTGTATGTATGCAGGGGCACATTTGCATTGGCCCATAGGTGGATGCATAAAATATCATGACTGCTTTTGTTTACTTCCCATAAATATTTGTCTATGTATATATATATATATATACATACACATGCATATCTGATTTAGTCAGGTGCACGTTGCTTAGCATTTAAATAGAACGGGATCACCAGTGCAGAAAGTGGGAATCCTAAAGTGGTAGGAATGGGGATCGCGATATTAATTATACATGTAAATGCACACATACACGTACCTCGTCACAAGATGATAACTTCAGCTTCGCATGAATCCAAATGTCGTGTGAAGCACCCGTGCCAGTGTGTGTCTTGTTGCGCGCATATCGACGGCTCCCATGGTTACACCTGACTGTATCATTCTAGACGATGCCGGTGGCTTCGCAGGTCCGGTGCCAAAGGGCCCGAGCCGACCGTCGTGCTTCAACGCTTGGACATGGCTATCCTCATGAAGCCAGCAGGATGGGAGGTTTTCGGTCACCAAAGCGAGAGGCCGATCACAACTGTCGGCACAACTAGGCTAAGCTTCGGCAAGTCATATGTAGTGTGATGGTTCGAAAGCACCCATCCGTGCTAGTGCAGCCAAAATAGATACTCCAAGGTGTTGCATGATTCTGGCGTTCCCATAGTTCTGCAAGCATCATAAGCCTTGAAGACGCGAGATGGATCGAAATCAATGAGCCGCTAACCCTCTACGGAGCTAGGTTGCGT